TTACTTGCTGAAGTATTCACTTCTAGGGGCAAGACGGCTGTACTCAGAGTTAATATTTTCATAGTGAGCAAATTTGAGTAACTGAGTAAGTGATCAAAGTAGTCTCACATTTTTTTTTCCTTTGGTTTGTTTTTTCCGTCGATCTTGTTTTCCGTGCTGAGCACCAATGCTACTGACGTGCCAGGAAGGCAGCTCCCACACCTGGACCCTACCTATCGACCCATCAACTCATGAACCGGGGACCAACGGCTTTACTTCCCATCCGAAGGAAGGCGTGATCAGAGATGTTATGCCTCAGAACATCCCGGCGGCGCCGACTGGGATTGAACCCAGGCCTGCAGGGGTGAGAGGTAATCATGCTTACCACTACACCACCGGCGCCGTTAGTCTCACATTCGTCAACAAATTAAAATTTAAATCAGCATAAACATACATTATCTATCAGAGTGTCAGGGTAATCCTATCCGTATTTTATTTTTTGTATTCTTGCATCAAATACTCATTAATCCGTGTGTTCTTCTTTTCAGTATGAATTACTCTTATATGCGTGGTCTCTACTATCGTGGGCAATAAAGTTGACAAATCAGGAAAAGATATTTCCGATATGATCCCGAGAAATGAACCCGTTAGTTGGCGTGCTTTATTACGAATTTCCAAGGGTGTGTTCTTTCGATGGTTAATTTAGCATTCTATTACCAGTTTTGGCATTGACTCTTATAATGATCATGCATTGGAAAGTGTTGATTAGACCTATTTTTAGTTTTAAGCCTGTTCAAGATTTGACCAATCAAGCAAAATCGGTGAAGATTAAGAATCTTAACCGCTTCAAATGTATGATTTAATTTCAGCATCTTATATAAATAAGTTAATATGAGTTGGGAATTCTAGTTTGAATTGTTCTGATAGAGCAGTATTTTTTTAAATTTGACTAGTCAATGATCTTTCCAATAATCTCGGTTTAAACTTTGTGAAAACTGTAACTCCTCAATGATTATTTACTAGCAAGTGAAACGCGATGCAAAGGAAGTGAAAAACTAACATCAAAAACTTCAGTTTTCATTCATGAGCAATACAGTCCTGGAATCATAAAGCCGTAGTCTTTGAAACCTCTGCCAAAATGTGCATCATCAATACGTTAAATTATGTCAACTCCATATTCACTTGAAAATCCCATTATTATCATCGTAAAACAATGATAAGCATACACAGATTTTACAGGCTGCAACATGGATTTTGTGGATGGCAATCCGGTATGTAATGTTGTTAAATCAGTGCCAACATTTCAAAGGGGCGTAATTGCATTTGTAAACAATGGCTTTAGCCATCGATTTATCGCGAATAGAAGCTCACTCATGAAAAATAATTACACCAGCAGGTAGAGGAATGTTTCCTCTACCAGCTAGCATTGTTATTTTGGAGAGGTAAGATTTCATTCGCGAGAAATTGACGGCTAAAGTCATTGTTTACAAAAGCAATTACGCCCCTTTGAAATGTTGGCACTGAAATGATGAACGTATATTTTCCTCGTCAAACGTCTTTTCTTGACAATCGTGGAATGCAGTCAAAACTAACAGGTTGCTATGTCACCTGCAATGAATATTGAGCAACTCGAGTTACCCAAAGTGACTCAAAATTTACTCCAATATTACTCATTATCAAAAGCTGTCTCACCCCTAGATTCACTTTCAATAAACAAGCCTATGAAAGTATGAAAGTATACCCATATATATATACATTCTCGGCATCATCTTAATGAAATAAAAAAAATTGAGTATGAAGGTCATTTAGGACTTTATATTTTCAAAAATTATTCCGAGTTGGTTTTGATGAAATCTCGAACTTTTCTTCAAATACCACTGATCATATTTTGGACACTCTGTTGCGGCTAACCTGAGCGGCCGTATTGTTTCACCATCTCTTCATCTCTGTCGCATCTCGAGTCACTTTACCACTCTTCTTCCACTTCTGTTTGACAATTGCCCAATATTTCTCAAATGGACGGAATTGAGGGCAGATCCCAAGTAACAATTTTGGTTTTATGAGGGTTCTGTAGACCATGATTTGGACTTGTAGAATGCTATAAAACCTCTATAAAGCTTGCAATGTTACTTGGGATCGCTGGATTGATGTCCTTTTCGAAGAAATCTACCCCGTTGTCTCGATACCACTGTAGAACTTCTCCGCTGTAGTGGGATCTTGTCAATTCAGGCCAAAACTTTACAGGTCCATTGTGAGCCTTAATGTACGGAAGAATACGTTTTTTTCAGGCACTCCTTCTTATACATTATGGAACCCATAGTCTTGATTGTCACGAAAACCTGTGTTTTCTGTCCGCAGCTGACATATCGCAATACCTTGCCAGATCAGAAGATGTCATGCAAATTTATCGGCAAAAACGAATTTAAACTTGCTAGGGACATCAACTCGACCAGTGGTTTTATAGAACTTTTGTCCGGGAAGCTGTCCATAATCCATATTCACGTACGTTTCGGCGTCCATGACGATGCATCCTTCGTACTTTGTAAGAACCTCATTGTACAACTTCCTGGCACGTCTTTTAGCCACTAGATTCTGCTTCAGTGCCCTGTTTGGTTGCCCACTGGGCCGGAAATATCGAAATCCTTTGGCTGGCATTGCATTTCCTGGCGATATCCTAATCCGAAAGCCCTGAGTTTGCCCTAATCGTTTTCACACCTTCAAATACAGCTTCCGATCCTTATGTCGTTTTCGTTTTTGCGGTGTAGCACTGGTGTAGTGTAAGCAGGAATAAGCGCGAGTCTTTGACAGCTCAACATCATTTGTTTGTAAACAAAGGTGCATCCTATATCTACACCCTAAAATATTTCGGTGTACGGCAGTGTAGCACCGGTGTAGCTACACCGCAAAAACGAAAACGACATTAGTTCCACTATGACGCTTGCTATGATCCTGCCGATAGTATGCCGCTCACGAAAACGTTTGAAAACACTGCACACGGTCGATTCAGCCAATTTCAACGACTTCGCGATTTTTGAACTTGACCACGTCGGATTTTTCAAATGGATGTTCAAAATTAAATTTTGGTTCGCGGCTTCCATCAAATATAACTTCTTTTAAATAAAATTAATCGTGACGAACTTTTCAGCACTGAAAGAGGGAACATTTCAATACAAACTGCTGTCATTCAATTCCAGATCTGACCGCTAGGATCACTGCATGGTAACCGCAAAATACCCAATAATGACTACAAAGAAAGCATTTTCGAGGGAAATTGGGATTACCCATTAAATGAGTAAAATTCTACCCATTTATGAGTAATTACAACTACAAAAACAGGTAGTAAGCATTCATTTTTGAATAACAAATACTCATAAATGGGTAATATTTTTACTCATTGAATGGGTAGTCCCAGTCTCCCTCGAAAATGCTTACTTTGTAGTCATTATTGATTATTTTGCGGTTACCGTGTGAAGTAAAATAAACAAGTACGTCCAGATATTAAATGACTCAATTTTATTTTCCTTTGATTTGTTTTCCGTAGATTTTGTTTTCCGTGCTGAGCACCAATGCTACCGACGCCAGGGAGGCAGCTCCCACACCTGGACCCTATCTATCGACCCATCAACTCATGAACCGGGGACCAACGGCTTTACTTCCCGTGATCAGAGATGTTATGCCTCAGAACATCCCGGCGGCGCCGACTGGGAGTGAACTCAGGCCTGCTGGGGTGAGAGGTAATCACGCTTACCACTACACCACCGGCGCCGCTATTAAATGACTCAAGCTTTATAAGAATTTTCATCCAAAATAGGTGTTTCAATTATTTTATATAAAAATTGAGGCATAATATAATACCGTGCACTAAATATAACTAATTGGTCAAGCGTCTACTACAATCAATGCATATGCTTTGGGTTTGACATTTGAATGGAACATAGGATCGAAAAATGGCCAATACCCATCCGTAAAATCTAAGATTCTATTCGCATGAAAAGTATGCAGAATTTTCAAAGTTTTGAAACATGAATAGATTCTGTTATGTGGTTGCCAGATGTTTTTTTTTTAATATTTTTATAATTTTTATGCTAGCTTGATTTTCGAACAAAGTTTGTTCCTCCAAGTGCATTACATCTAGAATGCAATCATCTCGTGGAGGGCATTCTGGGCAAACTAGCTTGTACGTTGCAGTCCACTACAATAACTGCCATTACATTTGTTGTAAGAATCATATGCAGAGTATGTAAAACATACAACCTTACATTGGATGTAAGACTAAATTTGTGTCGCGTGTTCATGCGCTTATAGCAGTTTCTCGTACTGTAGAAGCCGCTGTTGGTCGGTCGTGTCTGAGCCAAAGAGACAGTGCATTAATGAACCGTCGTCAACAGCTCAAAGATAACGCTTTCACCGTGGCTTAGTTTCGCGTAGAAAGTCCCTGCTAATCCGGTTGTATCCGGCATTCTCGTCTAGGGAGATTACTTTTACGACTATTGTTCTTTTCTTCCATAACAAGGCTGCCTACCGGCAGCAACAATGTGTTTGTCAATAAACAGACTGGCTACCTATAGGATGTTTCAATGAAAATCACGCAGACTGCGACTCAACTATGTTATCACAAATACGGCACCCTCATACTGCCGATAACCGACCGTCCTTAGCCAGTAGTCGGCTGCTGCAAGGCGTTATCTCCCGTTGCGAGACATATGTCACAGAAGACACGCGCCCTTTTGTCTTGTCACCCTCATTCCATCTCAGGTTTCTAGAGAATCGTAGTTGTGTATGATAATTTTGTGTTTTCCCGTTGGAAACAATCGCCAGGAGTACCAATCGCAAGAAGATTGTGATTACACATGCAAAAGAGTATAATAGAGCAAGTCGGTACATTTATTGTTGTCTATATAAATAAGAGTCTGCGGAGAGAGCGGTTCGGTAGCCAGTCTCGTCTTGGCAGTTGATTAGTGCCGGATTCAGTGTCTGTGTTCATCCCACAAATTTTAGACCATTCGCTTCACTAGCCGCTGCGGGAACGTTCGAGTGTGTTGATTGTAGGGCACGATCGAGAGGAATAATTAATCGAAGAAAATTCTCGAATCCAAAGTGAAACGATTGATCCGTTGAGCGTTAAGTGCCACCTAAAATATGGGAGGATAGCGCATACCAGGGTGTTTGATTTGTTTCGTCGAGAAGAAAATTCTATTCAAGTTGATTTGCATAAAGACACCGGCCGTGCTGAAGTGCTAAAAGTCATTCAATCTGGAAAAGGTCCAGCGAGGTACGAACGTTATGAGTAAAGCTCCAGGTCTGCCGCTGTATTTGATCCATTCGTATCGGAGGCGCCGCATTAAGTTTTGCGATAGTTCTATTAGTCGCAACAGTAGTGATCAACGGGACAATCAGGACCAACTCTTAGTCGTACGGCTCGAGAGTATCAGGAGCGCAATTTGAGCAGCCCCGAGGCAGAGAAGAAGCATTGTTCCGTAATTTTAAGCAAAAGGTAAGTGAACGAACGGGTGGTGCTAGGTCCAGGGAGAAGGATGATTCGCTTCGGTTGGTTCGCGCTGGAGATGAAAAAGTTATGCTGGTGCTCAGATATTAAAATGGGGCGTTATGGTTGTACTATATCAAGTACTTAGCATCGATATATTCCTCCCTTGTGAATTATATATTGAAAGTGTTGAACAAATCCATCGAATTAATACGCATTCGAGGTCATGCAAATAAGGTGTTTCTCAAGTTCTTAATGTTCCCGGAGCATCGGAAAATTTTAGAATTTTAATAATTCTTGGAGATTTAAGTGTATTAGCAGTTGTTGAAGGGGTTGAAGGAGCTCTGAGGGTTACTGAAATTCTGGAAGTTCATGCAGCTCTGAGAGATCATCTGGTTCTTAATCAAGTAAACGGTGCAAGTACATGAAAGCAATTCGTCCATTTACGAGTGACATCAGGCTTCAGCCGACGAGTGTAGTCTTCCATCAGAGACCGGATGTCGATAGTAAAAACGAACGGCTTGTGATGAGCGTCAACTTCAAGAAGTGCTGGCGGATAATCGACAAGGTCCATGTCGGTAGCAAAAGCCAAGTCAAGGAGCTTACCGTTCACGTTCAGAAGATCGTTAATCTGATTAAATCCAGATAGAATTTCGCAGTAGCCATAACACACATCACGATATCGAGTTAGCAATCATCGAGTTGTGGAGAATTTACCGTTTTGGGAGAAATCCACAGTTTTTGGAGTTGGTTGGAAATGCTAACATGAAGCTATAGTGTGATGATTTATTAGCTAGAGAATGATCTTTTTTTTTTTTTAGAAGAATGTAGGTGGATAGTTCCGTTAGAGTACGGCAGTATGAAAATTGAATAGAAGTTGAAAATGAGCGAAGGGCCATTAAAGCGACAGTTTTCAAGATGACGCACATTTTTGCCTAGCCCGTACGATGTACGCGGGGACTTGAAGTATGTCTCCAAGTCCACAGGCAAAAATGTGCGTCACTCTTGTTGCTCATAAACTGACTGCGGCTGTGGAATAGTTTTTGTTAATAATAAGAGAAAATATCGAAACTTTTCTGCTGTCTGCTGCAAATAACACGAAGACTGAGGCAAATCAGGGAGGTCCGAAGTGAAAATGTTGTACAATATAGGCCTAGAATGCTACCCTAAGGAGCTCCAGCTCTAACAGGTAGTCGATTAAATTTGGAATATTGATAATTTACCAGCAGAGTTCTGTCTGTTAAATGATATTGAACTAATTTTCATTTTAGTAATCAAGCTTTCATGACAAACACTGTCGAATGCTTTTTCTATGTCTAAAAGAGCAACTCCAGTTGAGCAGCCTTCAGATTTGTTTGAACGAATTAAATGGGTATTTCATAAGAGGTGATGACTAGTTAAATGCCAATTTTTGTATTGATGTGGAGCATCATTCCATTCAAAATTGAAACAGCCTAGTCAGTTAAGGAAAAAGTGACCTGGTGAGTAAATAACAATTTCAAAAATGGTTTTCTCTGGGACATCACTTCAGATTGGAAAGAAGCTGTCGTCGTTTTGTGCGAAATAATAAAAGGAAAACATCGACGAGATCTTTTGAAATCTGAAGTGATGTCTCAGAGAAAACCATTTTGGAATAAACTCACTACTTCACTTTCACCCTAAGACACGGGCTTACCAAGCCGTTGGTGGTGAGTTCGATTCCCGGTTCGGTCTAGATTAAACATCTATTGGGTTGGAAATGTTCTAGATTTCTTTGGGCATAGAGTATCATTGTGCTTGCCAATCGGTATACACATTCATGCATTGGTTGGCATAGAAAGCTCATAATTATTAACTGTGGCAATACTTCAAAGAATTTTAAGTTAAGACTAGGTGTATACACTCAATCTAGCTCGATGAAAACCTCCAACAGACGATTATCTCGGTATCTACTTTTGATGATATCTCTGCAAAATATCTGTTTGATAGAGTTGATGCTTTAGCTAGAGAAAGTTCTAAAGATAATAGATTGATAGTTGTGCTAGAATACGGCAGTGTGAACATTGAACATAAATTAAAATTAAGGAAATCGTAAACTTCACGTATGAAGTAACAAAATACTTTGATTAAATCTAATTTGTTAGCTGAATCTCGGCAGTTGTTTTACTGAATGTCAGCAGAATGAATTAATCATTTTGTTCGACAATTTTCCACAGAGATGGCGCTGTTCCGCTGGTAGGAAGTGATAAAAATCCCCATATAGAAATTGAGATAAGTGGGAATAATTCGCTTTCGGTGCATATTCAGGTGAAAAAAAAAGTGAACGACGACCTAAAGAAATTAATCAGGGACTTTGTTGTTCAGTTTTTCCCGGAAATTATTGTTAAACAAGCTACAATTAATTAAAAATGATTTTTCCCCATACAATTTTACCTGCTTTACTACCAGTTCTCAGAGAGCCAAAAATTTAAATTTGAGAGAGAAATTCTCTCTCACGAGCTCAATCTCTCAACATGCCATGTATTTTCTTGACACTCGATTTGTGATTTCCGTTTCACAGATTACAAAATAGAGTACCTGGCACTACAAAACATGTCGGGTACCTCTATATATGCATTTGCTTTAATATTTGAAGTCCCTCCTTTTTTACATATTCTGCGCAAAAGATACTTTATGCCCCGCCCCATACATAAAATTCGGCGGGAAATTCTGTGAGGGGTGAGCTATTTTGTGTGCAGAATGTGTAAAAAAGGAGGGACTTCGAATAATAATCTAAATGCATATATAGAGGTACCAGACATGTTTTGCACTGCAGGGTCCTCTGTGAACAATTATAGGAAAACAGATTGTGTGTAGTTTCCGATAAATGTCACCACAAACAACAGCAGTGACATCTGATGGAACATGAATGCAGAAGCTTGACAAAATGATTAATTGTGTAAGAGAGCCAGAGCCATGATGAAGAAGAATGTTCCGGGTGATCCACATTTCTTGAAGTCCAGCGTTGGAAATGTTCACGATACTTCATGAAGTTCACCAAGGGGAAATTTCGCTCGTCATAGGGTAAGTGAGCCAATTTGTTGCCCTAGTGGCCTATATCTAGATTTCAATTTTGTTCACTTTTAATCAAATTTGTTTCGATATAAAATAAAAACATATATTTTTTATATTAAATAAATCTAGGTTATTTTGACATTGCAAAATAGGTCAACAGTAAGTTAATTGCTGAGATCTCAACTAAAGTAACTTTTGAGTGCCTTTTCTCTGAAAAAGTGACGCTAAATCTCACAAAGCATACGTTATTTTTTGACAGTCATCTGTTAAGTTTATTCCTGAGCTGCACGACGGTGTAAACATTACCAAAATTTGGCAAACAAAACTATGTGTGCAAGGTTTGCTGAAGTTTTGAAAGTCCTTAATAGTCATTAAATAATCTCAGAGTTGTATAGCTTAACAGATTTCTATTATATTTTCTAGAGTTCAGAGGGCAATTTTTGAAGTTTCTGAAATCCGGGAGTTCTGGTACTTCTGTAATGACTTCTGAGTTCAAAAATTCCACTGGTCCTGTAGTTATGGAAGTTATAGGACCTCCCTTAGCTCAGTCGGCAAAGATGCAGCTACAAAGCAAGATCATGCTGGAGGTGGCTGGGCAATTTTGCGAATTGGAAAACGTCTCGACCTCTCTGGGCATAGAATATGACTGTATTGCAACACAATTATACTAATGCAAAAATTGTACAGGAATTGAAAGCTCTCAATCACCAACTTTGGAAATGCATCTAGAACACTAAGCTGAGAGCACCCAATAAGCTAATATGCGATAAACAAAAAGATTAAAATGTGAAGAAGAAGTAGTTATGCAAGTTGTAAAAACAATTTTACTTTCAGCATTTCAGACTTTTTCCCAAGAACTTTAAAGTTTGTTGGAGTTTCAGCATTATGTCTTTTAACTATCAGATGTTCTTAGTAAACCGACAGTTTGACACTTTTTGTAATGGTATTGTGGGAGAAATTCTGGAGATCTAAACGTTGTTGAATGTTGTGAAGATGTCAGAGCATTGGAATTTCTTGTAGGTCTAAGGATTATAGGACATTTTTATAGATCCTGTAGTTCTGGGAGCTGATGTTGCATCGAGGTTGGGGTTCGGGGATAAGTTCATAAGGGTATTGGTGTGTATAGGTCCATTAGAGAAAATGATGCATGAATACTAGTTGGCTACTAACAGTTTTATCGATTGACCACGTTCCAAACAACATACAACTCGTCAGCCTCATCCGTGTTGAACTCCCTAATAGCTCAGCATTATTCAACCATTAAGACAAAAAGGTTCTTTTCAGGACAACCATAAATTATTGTTGTTTAAGAGTTAATTTTCATTGAACGTTCGCTCACCTTGCTGCCAGCCACATATCGCTAATATGCGATAAACAAAAAGATTAAAATGTGAAGAAGAAGTAGTTATGCAAGTTGTAAAAACAATTTTACTTTCAGCATTTCAGACTTTTTCCCAAGAACTTTAAAGTTTGTTGGAGTTTCAGCATTATGTCTTTTAACTATCAGATGTTCTTAGTAAACCGACAGTTTGACACTTTTTGTAATGGTATTGTGGGAGAAATTCTGGAGATCTAAACGTTGTTGAATGTTGTGAAGATGTCAGAGCATTGGAATTTCTTGTAGGTCTAAGGATTATAGGACATTTTTATAGATCCTGTAGTTCTGGGAGCTGATGTTGCATCGAGGTTGGGGTTCGGGGATAAGTTCATAAGGGTATTGGTGTGTATAGGTCCATTAGAGAAAATGATGCATGAATACTAGTTGGCTACTAACAGTTTTATCGATTGACCACGTTCCAAACAACATACAACTCGTCAGCCTCATCCGTGTTGAACTCCCTAATAGCTCAGCATTATTCAACCATTAAGACAAAAAGGTTCTTTTCAGGACAACCATAAATTATTGTTGTTTAAGAGTTAATTTTCATTGAACGTTCGCTCACCTTGCTGCCAGCCACATAAAGCTCTCGAGTATT